TACCTGCTACGAGGTCCAGCTTACCTTCAAGACCTCTCTGAGCTGACAAAGGATTATTGCTGCTTAATCTCTCTTCACCCAGACCACAGCTAAACCAGCAACACCCATGGAACACAAACTAGTCTCCCATTACAGAAAAACAAATTTGACTCGGCCATTCTCCTGCTTAAAACCACTTTTAGGGCCGGCTCCCTGGCTTAGCGGTTCAATGCACGTGCTCCACTACTGGCGGCCTGGGTTCGGATCCCGGGTGCGCACCGACGCACCGCTTCTCTGGCCATGCTGAGGCAGTGTCCCACATACAGCAACTAGAAGGATGTGTAACTATGACATACAACTATCTACTGGGGCTTTGGGGAGAAAAAGGGGCAAAAAAAAGACACTTTCAGTGACATGTTTGGCAGGAGCGGGTGGATGCGGGTGAGCATTTGGATCCAGGGAACATTCTACACGATAGAACATTCATTGATTTCTTAACTAGTTCATTCAGCAAGCATTTAATCAGCATGCACTATGTGCTAAGTGCTATAAGTGTTACTTCATCTTTACAGCAAGCTTTGAGGGCCATGTGTTTGTTATCTGTCGCTGTATAACAAATTACCACAAACTTAGTGGCTTAAAACAACAAATGTTTGTTGTCTCATAGGATCCAGATGCAGCTCAACTGGATGCCTCAGGGTCAAGGTCTCCCATGAGGTTGCCATCTCGCTGTCCGCCAGGGCTACGGTCATTTCAAGGCTCAACTGAGGCTGAAGGATCCATTTCGAAGCTCGTTCACATGGCTGTCGTCAGGCCTCAGGCCTCAGAAGATCCAGAGCTCACTCCCATGGGCCTCTCCACAGGGCTGCCTCACAACATGGCAGGTGGCTTGCCCAGGGCTACTGATCTGAGGGGCATGAAGTGTCCACGACAGAAGCCACAGTCTTTTTATAACTTAGTCTTAGGAGCGACATGCCATCTCTTCTGCCGTCTTCCGTTGATTAGACGTGCGTCCATAAGTCCAGCCTACACTCTAAGGAAGGAGATTACACAAAGGTGTAATTAATTGGGGTGCAGGAGGTGCATTAATTGGGGTGGCGATTTTAGAGGCTACCTTCCACAAGTAAGGTATTATTATCCTTCATTTCATACTCAGACACCCAGCTAGTTAGGCAGCGCGTCCAGGTCACCCAGCTAGAGTGCTGTCTGACTGAAGTGTTTTCCACTTCACTAGACCAGTTGCGGGTGAGGTGAGGAAGGCAGAGAGAAGGTGCTGGTAGAAAAGCAAACAGGGAGAGAGGCTGTATTAACTATCTACTGCTGTGTAACGGATTACCCACAACTTCGTGGCTTAAAATCAACATTTATTGTCTCACACGGTTTCTAAGTGTCAGGAACTCAGGAGCAGCTGGCTGGGTGGTGCTGAGGGAGGGTCTCTCGTGGCTGTAGTTAAGCTGTGGGTCAGGGCTGCGGCTTGGACGACTTCACTGGGGCTGAGGACCATCTCCTCATCCATCTCCAGGGCGGCTCACTCACATGGCTCTTGGCAGGAGGCCTCAGTTAATTGCCAAACAGACCCCTCTATAATGGCACTTGAGTATAGGACAAGGAAGCTGGCTTCTTCCAGAACAAGTGGTTCAGAAGAGCCTAAGCAGAAGCCTCAGTGCCCTTTAAATCTAGCCTCAGGAACCACATACTGTCATTTCTGCAATGTCCTGTTGGTTACCCAGGTCAGCCCTATTCATTGGGAACATCAGGAGATGAGGACCATTGGAGGCTGACTACCACAGGGCCCCACAAGGTTAGTAACCCTAAAACTCAGCTTCTGTTAAGTCCCTCCCTGGTCAAAGAGATCCAGAGCTTTCCCACGTACCACAGCACCAATCTGATTTCCTTAGCTCCATCTCCCATGGTCTTTTGGGCGTGTGGATTATCTGGAATTGGCAGCTTGGTCCGAGTGACAGACCTCAAGTGTCCCCACAGAGATCCTTGCTGATGTGTCCCCCTCCCCATCCTCTCTGTTCTGTGGGAAGGCCCACCTCCGGGGAAGCCTCCATTCAGCCTTCCACACGTAGTTACTGCACGTTCACCACGTGCAGGCCCTGGTTGGATGCTGGGATCCGACGGTGAGCAAACAGAGGTCCATCCTCCCTGGAGTGCTTCCAGGCAAGATGGGGAGGCAGACACTGGCCAATCTGTAATAATCTAATCACAAGTTGTGACGAGTTCACCCAAGGAGAACTACAGGGGCCAGCCTGGTGGCGTAGCAGTTAAGTTCACACGCTCCACTTCGGTGGCCCGGCGTTCACCAGTTCAGATCCTGGGCACCGACCTATTCACTGCTTATCAAGCCAGGCTGAGGCAGCGTCCCACATAGAAGAACCAGAAAGACCTATAACTAGGATATACAACTATGTACTGGAGCTTTGGGAAGAAAAAAGAAAATAAAAAAGAGGAAGATTGGCAACAGATGATAGCTCAGGGCCAATCTTCCTCAAAAAAACAAAACAAAACAAAAAAACTACAGGGTACCATGCAAGCACATAATGGGCAACCTGGCCTATTCTGCATGTAGTATTTGAGCCAAGTCAAGTAATTAACTAGGCTGGGCATTAGGTTCAGGTGTAAGTGACTGAAAATCTAAAATAACAGTAGCTTAAACAAGTTAGATGTTTATTTTCCTCTTGCCTAGAAGTCTGGGTAGGTGTTTGAGGACAAGTACTGTGCCACTCAGTGACAACGACCCAGGCTCCTATCTTGTTGCTCTGCTTTGCATAGCCTCCACCACGTGGTCCTGGATGGTGACATCCATGTTCTGGGCAGCCAGATGGAGACAGGGACACAGAGGGTAATATGCACCAACTAGCCGTGAAGCTGCCACAAGATGCTTCCCCTTACATCTCAATGGCCAGAACTTAGTCACATGGCCACACCTAGCTGCAAGGGAAACTGAGAAATGGCAACTTTCATTCTGAGCACCCATATGCCCAGCCAAAAATCGGGAGCTCCATCATCATGAAAAAAACCAGCAACAACAGTCAACCTTACCTTGTACTGATTGTGCCAAGCACTGTCCTAAGTCTTTGACATCTGTCAACACATTTCATCCTCAAAACAGATCTACGAAGAAGGTACTATTATTGCCCCCATTTTACAGATGAGGAAATTGAGGTACAGAGGTAAAATAAGTTGGTAAGAGGATAAGCTGGAACACGAACCCATGTAGTTTGGCTCCAGAGTATGGGCTCTTTTAACATAGTTAACAGTTATGAAGAAAGGGAGAATCCTATTGGAGAGACTTGCACACTCTCTGCCCACACAGCAGGGTGGAAGACAGAGAGAGGAAAGTGCTCAAGGCAAAAGGAACAGCAAATGCAAAAGGTCCACCCCCACCCCCACTCCTCCCTGCAAGGTCCTTCACCACAGGGCCTCTCAAACTTAACCGTGCCAGCCAATCTCTTGGAGATTACACGAAATGCACACTTGATTCAAGAGGTCTGGGCTGGGGCTGAGAATCTGCCCCACGATGCCCCAGCAGCTGGCCTGTGGACCACCACCAGACTGTGGACCACATTTTGAGGAGGGAGGACTTGTGGTCAAATGCCCATCACTGCATGACCCACCTCCTGCACAGGCCCAGCGAACAGTCCTTTGGGCCCAGAGGCTGCTCAAGGCCCCTTTACCCTTCCTGTTGTCCCCAGGTTTCCAGTTCAGGCTGAGATTTCCTTCTCTCTTCCAAATGTGCCAGCCCTTTGTTGAATGAATGAATCAATGAATGAATGAATCAATGAATGAATCAATGAAAGAGAGAAAGCAAAGGGAATGCTGGAGGTCAGAAGGAAGGAGAGGCAACGGGTCAGGCCATGAAGTGAGTTCCAGAGGAGGAGTCTGGTTCAACGCCCCCACCTGCGCCAGACTCTCTGCAGGCACTGTGCGTTCCAAATCCTTTCCAGGAACAGGTACCCGCCACCACTGTCCTCTATTGATAGCGGAGGAAACTGCCCACTGGCCCTGCTCTTTGAACAGGAGCCCCCACTTTCCTCCCCTGGGATTTCTCAAGCCCTGTGTCACCACAACCTTGGAGGTGGGACCAATGACAGAACCAGGGGAAGCTCCGAATGAGTTTCCTTTACATGGGTCCTATGTTACCTCAACTACCATCTCCTCTAATCCAGCAATCCTGGAGGGAGAGGCTGACTGCCTGTGAATTTCACAGAGGGAAACTGAGGCTCAGAGAGGTCTGCCCTGGGCCGAGTCACAGAGCAGGCCTCAGCCTGCCTCTGGAACAACCTGCACATCCTGAACAGACCCGGCTTGGAGGGGGTGCTCAGCGAGTACCACCAGAATGACCGTAAATGGAAGAGGGAAGCAGAGACAGCTACCAGGCCAACCACAGCAGCTGCAGGTGACTGAGCCCTTCCTAGGTGCCAGGCTCTGCACTAAGCCAGTCTTCCAAGTTTCTCATTGGATCCCCAGGAAACAGCCCCTCGAGTAAGTGCCATCGTCCTTTCTGTGATTAGAAAGGGATGGGGGTTCAGAGAAGCCAAGCGTCTTTCCCAGAAAGGCACAGCAGGGGAGTGGCAGGTCCACTTTACAGATCTAGGACTGCCTGACCTCCCTTCTCACACAGTATTAGGCCCTTACTCAGAGCTAGACGCGTGCACGGCCCAAATCTGGATCATTACATCTAATCTTCACAACTCAATGAAACTGTTTCACAACTGCAAAACTCAGAGGCTCTGAGAGGCAGAGGGATTTGCCCGAGGCTACATAGAGATAAAATGAAGGAAAACTCAGGGGGGCTTGGAAGGAACGGATGCGTGAGTTTTTGCGGGGTCCCTTCCCCTCCGAGAGCCTCGACCCCCAAGGGAGCCTCCACCCACCCTGGCCCGCGGGGCCCTTTAACCGCGCGGCGGAAGGGGCGGCCGGGGGCGGCGGGCGGCGCCCAATGGGCTGCGCGGAGCGTCACTTCCCGGTGGCGGGTGTCGCGGGCGGGGGGCGGCGGCGGGGGCGGGGCGGCTGAGGAGGCGTTGGCAGCGGGCAGGGACCCACGCGGCGCGCGGCCCGCCTGGCCTGCAGCGTTCCCACCCCTGGCGGCGGCGGCACCATGCCCTTTGACTTCAGGAGGTGAGTGTGGCGACCCCGGCCACCGGGGAGCCCCCTCCGCGGGCACAGGGGGTGCCCGGGCACGCCGCGGACCCCTCCCGCCGGGCTTGCAAAAGGGGCCCCCCGCCCTGTGCACGCCTCGGCAGACTCTCGGGGACCCCGGGCGGTCCCCCTGCAGCACACAAAGACAGCGGGAGCCGCCGAGGGCGCCCTGGTGCAGCGGCAGGGAAAGCCCCTCACCTCCCGGGACCGTCCCACCCCCTCCCTCCGCCGAGCCCCCTCCCCAGCCTGCCCCGACCCTTTGCACACCCTCATCCTCCCCCCCCATACTGGGTAACAGATTTCCTCGCTCCCCGAGATGGGAGCAAACAAGCCATCCCCCTCCTCCCCTCTACAGAGCTTCATTCCGTGGACCCCACCCCAGCTGACAGGTGCGTCCAGGGCACCTTGACTGAGCCCCCAGGGCTCCGCAGGGGTCTGCAGCCCCATCCCGCCTGGCAGCAGCTGGAGGGTTTTAGGTTTCCGTAGGCTGAGGCTGCCCCAGGCTGGGCAGAACAGGAGGGCTGTCCCCTCGCCAATCCTGGTCCTGTGCTCTGGGTATGGGGGCACCACGTGGAGGGGAGGAGGCCGGGGGAACCATGGGCAGGGCTCTGCAGAGGGCCTAGCCCTGGCTGGCCTTGGCTTTCTACAGTCACCACAATGGGTCCTTTGTGGGATCCAGCTGCCTCATAGTCCACGTTGTGCTGGGCTAGGCCTTCTGCAAGCCTGCCTGGGAAGGGGTCTCCACGAGACTTTTGCTTGAGGTGTGCAGCCCCAGGGGACGCGCTGGCCTGAGGCAGCTGTGCTGTGGGTATCTGGCCAGGAGAAGAGCAGGGCTTTAGCTGGAGAGGAGCTGAATTAGAATCCTGGCTCTGCCCCCTCTGCTGAGCAGCTCAGTATATTCTAGAAGTTAGGGGCAAAGGCTCTGGGTTCAGAGCTTCCTATAGCGCTCAGCTGGATGATCTGGGCAAGTGTCAGAGCCCTCTCAGCATCTCCATTTCACCACCTGCAGCCTGGAGCTAAAAATAAGGTCCCACCTGTGACGACTGAGTGCGGAGAAGTGTGAACTCCACCTGGGAGGGCGTGGAGCTCAGGAGTGGGGCGTCCTTGGGTGAGGAGCTTCTCCACGTGGCCGTTTCCTCATCCGCAAAATAGGGGTTCATTGCCCCGGGGAGCTCTCCCTCCTGCCTGCTCCTTCCCTCCATACAGGTGTGACTGAAGTCAGGGTAAGGTGACAGCCTTTCTGGGAAGAAGAGCCTGGCAGTGACCCCCACAGCCTGTGGGCACGTTGGGGTTCAGGCTTGGAAAGGACGTTGGCCTTGCACCTCTTTCCCTGGCTGACATACTCCAGCAGATGTCTGCCGGCTTGCTGCCCATTCCGTGCAGCCCTGAGGCCGGCCCCAAGGTCTCAGACAAGTGCTTGCAGACGAAGGGCAGATCTGAACAAGGAAAGCCCCTCTGATGGAAGTCAGGGGCAGTCCTCGTACCGCCACTTAACGCCTGGACCATGCGAGCTGAGGTTGGCCTGTGGTTCCTGGTTCCACAAAGCTGCCCCTTACCCAGGCTGATAATTCCTGTCCCCTCCTCCTCCATCTCCAGGTGATTCACTAGGTCCCGCTGATTTTGACCTTGTTGGGGAAATCACTGCTTTGGTCGTTTAATCCTTTCACTTTGCACCTAATCCCCCATTTTAAGAGGAGAAAGTCGAGTCCCTAGGACTCTGGGTTTTGCCCTGCCCCTCACGGGAGCTAGATTGAAGGGTGGGCCGGGGTCGCGGGTCCCGCACAGCTCCTGACCTGGTGCGCCTTGAGTTGGAGGTTTGGAGCAGCCAGGTGCCATCGCGGCCCCAGCTTCATGAGGTGTTTTCATCGGTTGTCTCGAGGGCTTGGGCTCAGCACAGAACGGGGAGAATAGATCCACCACTTCGCCCGTGCACACTGGAGGGTGAGCATCTGTGCCTAGTGACCTGCACTTTTGAAAGTCTGTTAATTCCAGGGCGCAGGTTCTAAGGAAGTTTCCACCGTCCCCCGCGACTTCCTCTCTTCAGTTTTAATTCATCAAATCTTTACCGTGCTCAGCCCTCTGCCTCGTGCCCCACAGTGTGGAGCTGGATGCCATGTGGCCCTGCCCTCTCAGCACTGGAGAGAAGGGAGGAGGGCATCCGGGGTCCCTAGGAGTGGGGCATGTGTGGGGCACCCACCACTGTGCGGGCACTGCAGAGTGCAGACTTGACATCCGTTCCCTTGTCGCCTGTGAGAGGGAGTTTTAGTCCTCATTTTAAATCAAAGGGAAGGGATTTTGAATCAAAGGGAAGGGCCCATATTGCCCAGGGCCGTGTGCTGGTGGGCTGGGATTTGAACTCAGGGCTGTCAGCTTGGAAGCCTTAGCTCCGGGAGAAAAGGGAGGGCTTGGAGGGGCCCACCACCCTGTCAGGTGTCTTAAGGGGAGAGTAGAGGGGCATCCTCTGATTGGACCCCCTCCCGCAGTTTGAGGCCAGAGAGAAAACCAGGCTTCCTGCTTGTTTTGCTCATTAAAACAACAAAATCAGGAGAGGGGGAAAAGAGCTACCTTTCGCCCGTTCTCATCAATGCTCCTTGTCTTGTTACTGCCTCTGGGACCTTGTGCATCTTGCCTCCTGTGAGTTTGCCTGTCTGTGAAATGGGGATGAGAACGGGACCCGTCGTGGAGAGGATTAAGAGTCGTGTGTGTAAAGCATTTAGACACAGAGGAAGCACCCAATAAATTTCGGCCGTTATTTTCATCATTTGTGTTATTTCGTTTAAGCACCTGTATTTCCTGACACTACATAATTCATTTAATTGTTTTTTTTTTTTTTTTAAAGATTTTATTTTTCCCCCCAAAGCCCCAGTGGATAGTTGTGTGTCGTAGCTGCACATCCTTCTAGTTGCTGTATGTGGGACTCGGCCTCAGGATGAACGGAGAAGTGGTGCCTCGATGCGCACCCGGGATCCGAACCCGGGCCACCAGCATCGCAGCGGGCGCACTTAACCACCAAGCCGCAGGGCCGGCCCCATTTAATTGTTAAGCTTGTTCCCTTTCTCCCTCCGGTTAAAACCTGAGCTCCCTCGGGCAGAGATGGTTATCTGTTATATTCTCTGTTGTAACTCCAGCTCCCAGAACAGTGTCTGGGCCAAGCTCCCCCTTAGAAATGCTCCTCAGCGCCTGTCAGGGAAGCCAAGGGCATGGAGTGATAGGATATGCCAGCTCTTCCTTTACTGGGCAGATTGGCAGCTGTTGGTGGGGAATTTTCCCCCTCCCTTCTTAAATTGGCTCTTTCTGACTTGTTGGGGTGGGGGAGGAGGCAGAGCGCAGAGGAGGGCTCCTGGGCCTTCAAGGATGACTGGTGTTTGCTGTGCTCCTGTTGCATTGCTTCCGTTAATCGCTGCACACTGCTGATGTGGCACTGGCCTTGTGACCCAGATCCGTGGGCGTTGGCCCTGACGGTACCCAGTTCCGGCTGGCAGGGGGTAACAAGCACCTGTTGCCTCTTTCAGCCTAGGGTAGGCGAGGGGGGGAAGTTCCTGCAGCCCAGGCCCAGGGGAGCCTGAGCACTGCTCTCAGGGAGGCAGAGGTGGCCAGCTCCCCCACAATGGTGGTCCCCAAGTTGAAACCCCAAGACCTGGGGTGTGCTGCTGCTCTGCCACTGACCAACTGCGCCCTGGGACAGTTGACTTACCTTCTTGGGGCCTCAGTTTTTTCATCTTAAAGAGGGAATGGTAACCTTCCTGCCTCACCTGTTAGGATAGATGTAGGGGCAAGTGAGGTGTCCCTGCAAGGTAGGGCCAGCCACATAATTTGTGGGGCCCAGTGCAAAATGAAAATGCAGGGGCCGGCTCAGTGGCATAGCGGTTAAGTTTGCATGCTCCGCTTCGGTGGCCCTGGGTTCATAGGTTTGGATCCCAGGCGCGGACCTGCACACCACTTACCAAGCCATGCTGTGGCGGTGTCCCATATAAAGTAGAGAAAGATGGACACGGATATTAGCCCAGGGCCAGTCTTCCTCAGCAAAAAAAGAGGATTGGCAACGGATGTTAGCTCAGGGCTAATCTTCCTCACACACAAAAAAAGAAAATACAGAACTCCTTGTTGGAAAAGTATTAAGAATTTCAGGGCAGCGACAGCAGAGCATTAAGCTAAGCGTGGACCCCTCAGAGTGTGGGACCCTGTGTGATCACACAGGTCGCACACCCATGATGCCGGCCCTGCTGCGGTGCCTCTGGCTCTGCCTTCCTCAGGAGCCCTGAGTGAGCTTTCCAAAGCTGACCTGATTGTCTCATGTCCTGGCTTCGACCTTCAAGCAGGGCCCATTGCTCTGAAGGTCAAATATGAAGTCCTTAGCTCCCCACGCAGCCTCACCCAAGGGGCCCCTCACTCCCTACACCAAGGTAAGCCCCAGCCACCAAGGGGGGCTCTGAGCACATCGTTAACACTCAGCACGTAGTTGCTAACATAAGTGCCTGTACTTCTGCCCTGCCTCATTCCGGAAAGAAGTTGGGACGCTGACAGAAACACATACTTCTATGTTTTAAAGAGTTTAAAAATATATAGACTTAAAAATCAGGGCAAAAGGGAAATAAAGATTAGGCCAGAGGAAACGTGTGAAAATCAAGCCAGTATTTCACCTTTATTGAGCACTCCCTAGTGCCTGACGCTGTTGTAAGGATCTCACATCGGCCCGTGTAATCCCTCTACAGCCCTGCAGGACAGGCCCTGTTGTTGTCCCACTTTACAGGTGGGCCACGGAGGGGCATGAAGGAACGTGGCGGATCAGCAGAAGGCGCTGGGGTTGGAACTCACCGTCTGGCTCCAGAGCCCACTGGATCCTGCAGCCTCCTTGCTCAGGCTTTCCCTTCCGTTCACTAAGTTCAGAGAGAACTGAAACCTCCTCTCATTGCGTTCATTGGCTTTCTCACCTCTAATCCTTTCCCAACAGTGCTCATTACAAAGCTTAAAGTTACCAA